ATATGTACATTTATTTATTTATTTAATCTTTATTGCCAACCTTCAGTAAAACAAGTAATCAATAGGCGGACTTAATGCGCAAAGCCATTTTCTACCAGTCAACCGAGGATGTGATGTGAGAGTTTATGGTAGGTGGAGCAAAAGATGAAAGAATAATAAAATTTTAAATAATAAGTAAATGTAAATTAAGAATAAATATTAAAATAACAATAAAAATATATAGTTAATAGCATTCATAATATATATACATAGAACATAGTAACATACATAGTTTATTCGTATAAGACGACCGAAGTACTCTATCATGAGATGAGGTGAGATACAAGAATTTGTTTTTGAGGTATGAAGGGGAGGAACTATCATTTAAAATGGAGAAAAGCACAAGCAGAAATCTGGAATGCCGCCTTTGCCGAATAGTAAGCCAATTAATGTTGGGATACGTCCGGGTAACACACATCACTCATAATCGTTAATGGGCAACATGAGCATTGGGACAGGCAAAAGTTTTGTTTTGATTCAAAGTATTGTCAATAAGCAGACCTAGATTTTTTAGAACATTTGAGAAAGGAATTATTGCATTGTATTGGAGGTACAAATGAGTAATCGATTTTTGTCAGCATTCTTGAATTAGCAACAATTATAGCTTAGTATTTCGAGGGATTGACCGAAACTCCATGAAAACTTGACCAATTTCAAACTTTGTTAGGTCTTCGTTTAAATTTAGTATGGCATCATGAAGGTCATTTATATCGGCTTGCACATAAAGCTAAAGGTCGTCAGGATACAAATGGTAAGAACAGTTCAAAAAAGCAGTGAGAAAGTCAACATCAGCTCATGTCGAGCTTTTTTTTTGCCCCAAGGTGACTTACTGCTGACGTCCACGAAGATAAAATGAAAACCACTTCACAACAAAGTCTGCAAAATTAATATGGGAGAGCATGGAAAGGAGCATATCATAGTCGACTGTGTTAAAAGCGTCTGAAAAATCCACAGGCACCAACACAATTAGTTTTTATCTTCCATGCCTTGCCTAATGTCATCGGTAATTTTGATTAAGGTTGTGGTAGTGCTGTGCCCAGAACAAAAACCAGACTGATAGGTACGCAGTAGATTATGTTATTTACACAGGCTTCAAGATTTTTGAGGAAAGGGCAGAATTGATAGTGGACGGAAATGATTCGGTTGTGTAAGATTAAGGACTTTAGGAAAAGCTCGGACATAAGCTTACTTCCAGCAGGATATTGACCTTCCCTTGATAAGAAAAAAGAAAAGGGAAAAGTTAATTATAAAAACATTGTTGTTGTGTACACTAGAAGTGGTGAGATCATCTATATGAAACACGTATATCGATATGTACATCATCGAGACGTCTAGGTTGTGTGAATGCCGCACCCCACATCGGAACTGACAACAATTGTAATTTTATAGTAAACTGAGCTGATTCGGAAAACGTTGTTTTGCCATACAAATTATTTTTAGTGTAGGAAAAAATAAAAATTTGTTATAAAACTATTCTCATGCCTTCTGAATATAAAATCAAAATCAAATCAAAATATTTTTTTTTAATCTACCACCTTTTCGTAATGAGGTTACTCTAAGTTCCCTAACGGAGAACAAACAGGCGAAAGAAACTGTAAACACATAAAATTCATATACATATAAAATTTCATCAAAATCGGTCAAGCCCTTTCGGAAGAATTTAAACACTAAAACTGTGACAAGAGTTTTATATATTAGATAAAAATATAAACAGTATGAAATAAAATAGAAAAGTTGCAAGTTGCGTAAGCTACTATACTATTAGTAGTAGATACTATTAGTATTCTATTGGAGCAGTGTTCAGTTTTGCTGTTAAAGGAACAATACTCAACGGAGACTTGTGTGAAAAAGACGTTCGTCCCGGCCCGCGTAATTATTCATAATGGACCCTATGACATTATTATAATTTGAAGAACAGTTAAATGAGTGTAATGTGAGAAACTAGCCAAAACTATGTATATCTAAACAGTACAAGAATTCCTGTGAAAAGTTATACCTACATATTTTATAATCCAAAATATTCTTGTTGTGGGAGTGCACACAACTGATAATTTATTCAAACGGTTAAAATGAGCAAACGACCTACTAACGCCATCTAGTATAAGTTTTATAAAACCTCAAGGACAAACTTCGCTCATTTGTATATGGGAAACCGCTACACCATCTAGTGTAAAAGTTTATAATCAGTTTACTTAATCGATATGAACGTGAGTACTTAACAGCAGTTCGCCAGAGATCAAGATATTAATTGGATGCCGAAAGATTATCGAGAGGGTGCAACGTATCCCAAAACAAACGTTGACGAAACAAAAAAGATTTTAGGAAATAGGTAGTCAAAATCTGAAATGTTGGCATTGCTAGAGGATATAAAAACATCTATTATTAATGGTTAATATATAATTTACCATTTTAAAGGCGAAGCAAAAACACTATAAAACTAAAAATTCAACAACTTGGACAGATACATGCAAAATCAGTATATCTCAACAAGTACCGTAGTAATTGTACATTCCCTGGACTTGCCCCGCAGTTCGACCCCAGTATTATCGGATACCGCAGCGCCTACACCTGGGATATGTCGCTGAAGCCTATGCCACGTATATTTCAACCGCAGTACCGCATTACAAGTCTTATCGAGAGTATGCAACAATATCACTTCTTTCTTTCAGTTTTAAAGCATTTTTATGTAGGATAAAAATCCCCCTCCCATAACAGTCACTGTTGAAGTTACTGACTACTACACTTATTATTAGGTCCTTACATATGAAATTGGGTTTTTTTACGGGAGGAATATAAAGTCTGATTTTGTAAAATAACTTTTATTAATACAAAGTATGCACCATTGTTATCTATGCACTTTTGACATCTCATAGGTTCAGTAACCCTTTACTAAAATCGAGAATTATCGGCGAGAATCAATAAACTCTTTGAAGGCGGTTTGGACTACCGCACCGGAGCCACCCTTGTTCCTGTTGATTTGTTCCGAAACTCATTTGCTCTGTGTTTGTGTTTCAGTACCCAAAATATCTTTAAAATTTCCTTTAAATATAAAATAAACAGAAATACAAGAATGACAAAAAGGTAACTGTATCCCACGAGTTCCACAACGTGTCAATGGAAATTTTTGTCACATTTTGCTTAAGCTGAAAAATATTCCATATTTCCTTCGTGACGTCGGTGATAGTGCAAAACTGCGTAACTAACAAGACAATTCCGCATAAGTTTGGCGTAGCAAACTTTACAGGGCAAGCTAAAAACAAATTATTTTTTCTTATTATTAAGAAATTGTTATTATTATTAAGCTAAAAATGAATTAGCTTATGCAGTGATATTTTATTTATTCTAAACAATATTTAGATAGAAAAATCACTTACGTTGTTTCATGTCTTATAACTTATAAGTCATTTAATAGTCAAGTAATAGTTTGGAATTGAATAAAATATTTATATAAAAACTGTTAGTAACGGGGAATAGTAGTATCAACGACGATAAGAATAGTTAAAAAGAGAAGAACGGCATTTTAGAGGCTGTAGAAGAAACTGCAGCAGAAACAGCTCAGCTTGTCTCTGTATCTTTTTGTAATCGCTCAATTATAAGAGATTGTAAGTAATTTTCTTACTGCGAAGTAACAAAAATGTAGTTCTGATTAGGTTTTGATAGGCGTTGTAGTAATAAATTGTAGTCTCCATTTTATCAAAAACATATTCGGTAATAACAATTTATTCATGTAATATAAAATAAACAAAACATGATTATTTGGGCTGAATGTAACAATAAGAAAACACAAACTTCCGATTATTTTTATAACAAAATAAGTTTAGTTTATAGAAACGCTCACAAAGGTAGATATTATTATTCATGATGGAACTAATGCAATTATTTGGCATTATTCCGGCACCAAAGATACAGAATATAGTACATGAAAACTACATAGGTGCTCTGTAACGTCTGTATGAATAGTTGATAGATTTCACTTAGAAACAGAGGCACTATTGTAGTAGTAATGTACTACAATTAAATTCTGCTAATTTCGAATTTAAGGTGTAAAGTAAATTTTGCAATGAAAATCCCTATAGGGATAGGGTAGAAATTACAGTTAAAGTTTTATTTGTACCACGTCTACAATTATTCTCTTAATATATATATATATATATATATATATATATATATATATATATATATATATATATATATATATATATATACTTTATTTTGTTGCCACTTATACAACTAAATCTAAAATATATCAATTAGTTAGAAATTCTTAGCCTACCTTAGATTATGACTATGTGTTTAATTTTAGTAAAAGAGAAAAGAATCACAGAAGAAATAGGTAAACCTCAAAACTATATTAATCTTAAACGACAATATTAAAAAGGCTTGCACATCATGTTACACAAGTCTTCACAAAATATTTAAAATTCAATCGCCTCGTGCTCTCAACAAAGGTGACATAGAACATGTGATGTGAAACAGTTTAAGCGACAAAATTAAAAATTCTTCGCTTACTCCGACGCATATTACCATAGGGCATTCAGTTTAAGTTCATATTTTGAGTAGCATAAGAGTCAATTTCTATAAACAAGCTATATGTTCGAGTTCAATCGAATACGGCTAGTGTCAAATGCGCCTTCGCATCGCCCCGTGCTGCGTCATTGAGTACCATGCGCAGGCACATCACGCGCCTTCGGCGTAACGTGTATGAGTAACACAGTCTACATCGCTTCTTTTATAGAACATTGTGTTCACCACGCAGGTGCCCGACTAGTGATGTATAATCTAATTTTGTTTGACTCGTCACTTTGTAAATTGGGCAGTAGGGACATGGGTCCAGACTTCATTCCGACTCCAAGAGTTCACTACTACACGGCATCGGTTCAGTTTAGTTGTGTTGAAGCGCGCATTGTTAACAGTCTTTCGAGTTTTCTAATTCGTAAAATAAGACATCGAAGCTGAGCACTATGCACGACACGATACGCAATCAGGTATGTATTTGGCGTTCTATCATTTTATTTTTAGCCCCGGATTTTAAAACGCGAATGTATAACGTCCATTTGCTGCGAAGTGCTACATGAACATTAGTTTGAACATCAATACGTTTATCTTTATCAGTATCCGTTTTCATATCCCCGTAATTATTTTATAATTATTTACCTATTGCTGGAAAGATAAACATCGTTTAACTTATATATTATTAATTTAAAGTTTTTTTTAATTTACAATATAATTAGTAATCGGTGTTTGCCCGGCTTTTCGAATAAGCTTGACTTAGAGGCGAATCGATTATGAAACTTCCTATACCAATTTCTTGTTTTTTTAGGAGCAAACACCATTGTATTCTACCAATAACGAGCTGAGCGTTCTAGAACTATATTGCAGCAACATGGTATCTTTACATCAATCCGAAAGTAATTATATTGTTTTCTTCTTTTCAGTGCATAATTTTTATAGCCTTTAGTAAAAACATTTCATAATCACAACCAAAACTATATACTTGTACTACGTAATTATAAATATGTATGTATATATTTTTATTATATAAATAAACAGAATGATATATAACTAAAACAAAACCGATATACACGTAAAAGTTGAGAAAAAAAACAGATGTTTTCTGTTTGGAGTATATTAAAAGAACAAAATGCTTTCATTTAATGAACCATTCATTCGAAAATTAATTTTCCCGTATAACCTTTAAATTCGATTGAATAATTAGCCCTTGAGGAATTTGAAAGCTCTACGTACATTTAGGATTAATTGCTATTTCTTAGAAATTAAAGAAAGAAAAAAAAATTCCATGAATAGTACCTTAGATCTGCCCTTTCGTACAGATTCGTTTGGGTCAATATGGTATACCCTTAGTAGTCATTAATGTTAATAATTATATGATAGAAACTTTATTATGACAAAATTATTAGCGATATAAAAAATTAAGATTTCTTGGACATTTGGTTAATCAAGTTAATAGTTTTATGACTGTGTAATATTTTCTGCGTAAATATAGTAATATTTTTTTTAATGTGAAAAGTTGCCAAGCGAGCAGACGGTTCACCTGATGTAAAGTTAATACCACCGCCCATGGACATCCGCTACACCCGAGGGTTCCGCTGACAACCTTTTGAAAATTGAGCTCCGGCCACCTCGCTCACCAGACGAAACGCGAAAGGATTAAACTTCCACTTTACGCCGGTCTTCTCTGAGGTCGTGGTACTTACCCGGAGGAGCTTTCCCATTCGTGCAACAGCCGAGGCTGCTGCGTGGCCGTAGAAAATATTAAATTGTGAAATATGATTAATTAACGACAAGAAATAACAAGCGGGCCGTTGAATTAAAATCATGTTTTACTGCTAACATTTCAATAGTTAGGTACTTATACACAGGTTTACACCAGTCTCTAATGCGAATGATGTAGAGTCATAGATAAATTTACTAGAAGTGGTAATTGCATGAATATATAAATGTGGTTGTTGAGGGTAACCGAAGATAAATAATCTTATATAAGTTATAAGTTCATTATAAATGCTTTCATTATCCATTAAATACATATTGTATATGATAATAACGTAAGGAAAGTAATAATGTTTAATAAATCGTAAAAAGAAATTACATAAAATGTTATTGTATAATGAGGAATACGACCCATAGATAAAAACTATACCTTTTTGCGTTCCATTCAGTTTAATATTTGTTGAAAATATGTTAATGTAATAGTTTAAAGTAAAAATGTCAATATTATTAGAATAGAAGCATCTAAAAATATCAGCAAAGCAATATGAAATATATATGCAATGTGGGGTTCTACGTATTAGATCAGTTAAAGAATTTCACAAATATTTACGCTAAATACCTCTACTTGTGTTACGTTAATTAGCTTTATAAGATCGGAGTGCAGTTTGAATTTCGTGCCTTATGTTATTTCTACAAATATTAAACTGAGAACTAGCAATTTTGGTGGCTTACACGAAAACCTATAAATAAAATGTAAATGATCCATTGATTTTCAAAGAACCATTTCATATACCTACATAACTTTAAAATTATTACTGTTTTTCGTATTAAGTATAAGTTATAAGAAATGCAGACAAAAGAAACCAGGTATAAAATTGAATAATAAAAGTTCCATGTACATTATTTCTTATATAAGTTATAAGAACTACTCGACTTTATTAACTTATTTTTTACTTTTACTCCGAAAAACATAATAAACTAAATAGCAAAAACATTATTAGTAGTAACTTAAATCCGATACTTAGATGGTTTTCATTAAATGTCTGTTCCATTATAAATTAACAGATATTAAATGTTTACGAAGCGCTTATCTCTTAGTTCGTCGAAAGGGATGACTATTTATAAACAAAGGTCGGTGATACTCTGTTTATTTATAAATAAATTTCTCTAAACGTGGCCAAAGCGAATTATGACGATCAGCTGCCCTAGCAGCATGAGTTGTTATCTAATTATAAGCGTTTCCTGTGCAGATTATTCAGCGAAGAATTGTATGCAGATAGATGCGTATCGCGTTGTCGACGCAATATGCATACTGTATATGTAAACTTGTTGTTAATGTTTGAGATGAAAACGAAGTAAACGGTGCTTAGAGTAGCTTTTCGAGGGTGATAATTAAAAATTTACCAGTCAGTCAGTTCCGTCCACCTCATCGTATTGGTATAAAATAAGAAAGCGCTAGTAAGACTTAACTCTCAATCATTATAACGACATATTGTATTGGCTAAGAAAAAAGCCCTTAAAACCTAAAACCGGACTTCACTGAGAAAAGGTTGAAATTTTATTTATGAATTTAAATTATTTTTAAGAGAACATGTACATTTTTAACAATGAATAACAAATAAATGTATTTGTGGGACAGGGTGGAAAATTTAAGAAATGTAATTTAAATTAAGGCGTGTATCATTATGGGAAGTAAAATAATTTCATTTCTCAAGGCTGCGAAACGTTAAGGCAATACGACGTACATATCAATGCCTATTTTTTTCTCCTTGAATGTAAGCACGAAGCAGCCATCTTAAAAAAGTCTGTAGTCTTCCTATAACTCCCGATGAGTCATGGGCGCTCGTTTATTCTAGAAATTTCTACTGCGACGCTTATGCGAATGAAATCATATCTGCACGAGGCAGTTTAATGTAAACATTTTACAATTCACGTTTATAACGACAAACAGTATAACTCGATATCCCGTCTACATGAGGTATGCACTTTTGTAAACAAAGGCTCAACCGTATATTCTTAAAGACAACTTACTATTATAATATTCACTAGTCTTGCAATTTAAGTACTTATTTGATTTGAATTAAAGTTATGGCATTTGTAATAATATGAGCGTAAAAATACAAAAAAATACATTACTCGGAGAAAAATTTCCGTAAGTTGAAATTTCACGAGATTCGTTGACAGCATTAATTTTGTAAGTACGCTGTGTTTTCACGTTCTGTCTGATTGTCTGACAGTGGCATAATCCAACGACAAATTATTTTTTTGACGTTTGCCAAGCAATTCAAGTTGAGCCGTCAATTTGCCACCACGATGAGTAATGGTTGTAAATTAATTAAAAAATTTAACTGAATGGCTGCACTTAACATATGCACTATATTTATTGGACCTTAATCACTTTTAATTTTTCGACTCTGAGTTTTGAAGTTTCATTAATAAACCTGTGACTGGAACCAGCGCGTAGGACGTGCAACCGTTATTCGTCAGTTACATTTGCTAAACGAGCATGGGTAAAAGTGGCAACGATCGTAGTGTTTTTGACTCTCTTTAGTTAATCGGTTGCGGTTTAAAGATAGGCAATAATCGTAGTCTTTTTGACTCTCATTAGCCAAAAGAGTACAGTTTAAACTAAGACGATAATTGAATCTTTTTAGATTTACCTCATTTACGAGTAACCTACATAATACATAGGATCTCATTTTTGCTAATCAAGTCAGGCCTCTCTTTTGAAATGTTTTTTTCCTTATTTGCTTTTAATCGGTTGCCATTTTTAGTCCCGGTTTCAGTTTGATGCCGTTTTATCATACGAGCAGCGAATTTGATAGTTTTACCCATATATTATAATACCAGTGAATTACAATTAAATCACTAACAATAAATAAATTACAGTTTTTCAACAAAAAAACCTACTCCAAAATATTCTACAAGCACTAAAAAAATGTAAATAATACTAAATGTAATATATCAAATCTTGAAAATCTAAGCTATAACCTAAACAAACTATAACAAAATGTAACAATTTTTGCAGTCGGGGCCATTTTTAACCACGGGTAAATATTTATGACAACAATGATGTTTAATAATAATATAGATGACGCATGTCCATACTGCGCGGCGTGTAAAAGTTGATCCGCTTCACGTTATATGACATATATAAGAGAATGTGACAGATGATATAGAAGGTATGATACAGAAAGAGATAGCAGTCGATAGTTCTACACCAATTAGTGTAATTTGAGCGCCTCATATCTTTGTATGTCATATCATTGTATGATAACCTTTGCCATTCCTGTCCTCGAGTCGACTATGTATTGCTACATGACTGCAGTATTTGTTATCTTTAGTTTCGGTTAAGAAATGTTATAAATAAGAATTTTAACACACTGGGGTAGTGATTTATAGCGGCATGTATGTACATTCGAATGACATGCTTCCGCACCGTGATTTATCGGCTGTTTACATAATCACGTCTGAATAAAGCGATTTTCTTCGATAACTTCTTGCGTTACTCGAGAGACTGGAGCAATTTCAACGAGTTGATGCGCTTTTCCGTCAATAAAGTGCGAGACGTTTGCAAAGTTGCAAAATTGCAATTTTTGTTACTAATAAGCAAAGGTAAAATTGATCATTCTTTGAATTACAGTACTTTATAGTAAGTCATTACGTTCCATACTATTCTATTCTATGTTTATGTATTTAACATACATAAAAGAATATTTTTAAATTTGTTTGAGTATTAATGGTGTAATCTCAGATA